ACCAAGAGAAAGAGTGATCCTCACTGGACCACAGCAGTAGTGGGTCTAGAAAGAGGCAGGTTAGGACCTCTCTGGGGGCAGGCTGGTTTGCTTCAGCAAAAATATTATCTGATCGTCTTTAGGAACAAAAGTGGCGAAACAGCCTCTCAGACTTTAGAAGACCCAGGTTATATTCTAGACAGGACAAGAGTCTTGAATGCTGCTTTGAGCTCATTAAAGGAAAATTGGGATATAAATGCAAGTCAATCTCCTTGGAGCTCCCATGGAACTTAGCATAGGCTACCCATTCTCTCCCTTTGCAGTGGCTGTAGAGGAGAAGAAGATCTGGGGCTCAGGCATATGCACGGAAACTCCTCAAAGTTTTTTGACTATAGCTGCCAGAATTCTGGTAGGGGGAATTTGTGGTGAATGGTGGTAGTTGAATTGGGGGGAAAAATCCTAAAATCCTATGCCTACTATTCACTGCAGGTTAATGGCAAAAAGGCACAAGATTGCTTGTAAAGGGAATTTGTGGTGAATGGTGGTAGTTGAAGTCGGGGGAAAAAATCCTAAAATCGCATGCCTACTATTCACTGCAGGTTAGTGGCAAACAAGCACAAGATTGCTTGTAAGATAAGCTCAAGGTTTAAGGGGGGGGCAGAGGTGAATCCCCAGCCTTGGATCCTGAGCTCCCTGGAGGCTCTGCAGGGTGCTTCCTGAACAGCAATGGGCTCCTTATGTTTTATCTTAAGTAACTACCCTTCTTAAGTTCAGAATAGCCCTGAAGGTAGACAAGAACCAAGAGATGGTGAACAGGGAAGGTGGGGAAGTGTTGGGCAGACGACTGGTGGAAAAACGGGGTGGCCTGATAATAACAACCAATAATGTGGTCCCATCACCTCCTGGGAAATAGAAGGGGAAGATATGAAGGCAGTGACAGATTTTATTTTCCTGGGCTCCATGATCACTGCAGATGGAGACAGCAGCCACGAAATTAAAAGACGCCTGCTTCTTGGGAGGAAAGCGATGACAAATCTTGACAGCATCTTAAAAAGGAGAGACATTACCTTGCCAACAAAAGTCCGAATAGTCAAAGCTATGGTTTTTCCTGTTGTGATGTATGGAAGTGAGAGCTGGACCATAAAGAAAGCAGACCGCCGAAGAATTGATGCCTTTGAATTGTGGTGCTGGAGGAGGCTCTTGAGAATCCCCTGGACTGCAAGGAGAACAAACCTATCAGTTCTAAAGGAAATCAACCCTGAGTGCTCACTGGAAGGACAGATCCTGAAGCTGAGGCTCCAGTACTTTGGCCATCTCATGAGAAGAAAAGACTCCCTGGAAAAGACCCTGATATTGGGAAAGTGTGATGGCAAGAGGAGAAGGGGACGACCGAGGATGAGATGGCTGGACAGTGTCTGCGAAGCAACCAACATGAATTTGACACAACTTCGGGAGGCAGTAGAAGATAGGAGGGCCTGGCGTGCTCTGGTCCATGGGGTCACGAAGAGTCGGACACAACTAAACGACTAAACAACGAATGTGGTATAGCCATGAAAACTGGACTGCAAAAGAGCTAGGTTAAGCACCATTTTGAACAGTAAGAAGGCTTGGCATTGTATGATATGGCACGTCACTCCTAATTCCATCTGTTTTTTCCCAACATTGTAGTTCTGGCCCAAGATACCCACCCATTCAAGCTTTGGATCAGCTGCTTATAACTGGATGAGGATGACAAAAGGCAATCTAGACAAGACAGACACAATCCTGTTTAGCTGAAAGGTAGTCTTGGGTGATGTGGTGCTCCTGTTGAAACCTCAGGTTTTCAGTCTGAGGAAGATAGACAGAAGTAATTGCTAATGACAGGATGTTATTTTCAGTTTTGCTCTGCAATTAGTAACGATAATATGTTATCTGGAATGTGTCAGAAAAAAATTCCTCCCATGAACCTGAAAAGCCCTGAAGGGTTTTTCTTTCTTTCTTTCTTGAAAATATCTCCCAAGATTACAAGGACTTTGAATGAAGGCGTATTATAGGTTGGGTTAGACTAGTTGGGTGGAGGACGGAAAGAAGAAAGAAATAGCTCATTCACAACAAGGCGAACTTTGCTGGGATGATTTTATGTCTGCATGTATATTTTTGGCATTGCAATCTACTGCACTTCTAACATCCAGGGATCCATGAGAATCTTACTAAGGCATTACAAATATAGAACAAACGTTGATAAATCATAAAGTGTCTGCAGACTAGGCTGTGAAAGTTGTAACCCAAAATGGTAAGGTAAATATTCACATTCCAGTATTTCTGGAATAGCTATTAATATAGAATCTCAAACCTGATTATCTTAAATTCCTACAGACAATTATATGCTAAATGCAGCAATGTTAGCATTATTACTTCAACCAGCCTTCTTAACCTGGAACAGCCAGTTCTGGAAAGGCACCTGGAATTGAAATAAAAGTGGGGTGTTTGCCCAACCTAATGTTTTGTCTTGTCAAATAATCTCTCTGTTGGTTTCTCCCCCATACCCCAAATAGGTTGCAAAGTCTTATTGGCAAGTGTAACATCTAGTGTGGTCCATAACTTCAGAGGTTACTGTTCATATGTCTAGATAGTGATTTCCCACTAACGTAACTCACTACAAAAGCTTACAGTCAGACTAAGAGTTTTTAATAAATGGAAAGTATTCATCTGATTGACATTACACATAGGAACCTTTAGAGACATTTAAACATTAACATGTATAGGAGATGAATCCATGAAAAAGCAGATCCCATATCAGGACTGTAACATCTGTGAGTATCTTAGATTGATAAATATATAATATATTGTACTGAACATGAAATTGTATTTTACTGGGAATTCTAAGCAAACAGCTCATTGGAATTTTTAGAAATCTTTAATTGAGTACCAGTGAAGGAAACTGTGAATACAAATCTGTCTCTACTTGGTCAAGTTGCCCAAGGATCTAATAGTTTCACAATTAATCAATTTCAGCTTAAATTATTTAGTTCATAGGAATCTTATTTTCCAGAAAGTTGTTTTGTTAAAAAAGAACCAAAATAATTGCCACAATGTGTGGCAAAACAACTGGGATCATAGTATTTCATTTTTGTAAAGCCTGCCTGGAAAACATGCCAGCAGATTAATTGTGATCTCCCTGTCTGACAGAAATGTGTTCTCTGACTGCTCTTCTTCTCCTTCCTTCCTGCCTGAAATTTACACTTCATGAGGTTGGAGTTCTGTCACATCCAAGGAAAGTGTCTGTGTCCTATATCTAGAGTATGAAGCCAGAAATGCAAAACAAAACTAGATCCTGATCTCACATTTAGGTCTTCTGTGTGTAGGAAAGTTGTGACTGGTGGCAAACAATGCTCTAGATGCAAGTCTGTAAACACAAAAACAAAAATCCAGGGTTGCCTAAGCTGTATTTTTGAAATCTCCCACATCAAGTTCTTGTTTGAAGTCTATTCTTCATTTCAGCAACAGAAAAACCCTCAAAATACTCCAGTGAACAGTTCTAGTTTCTGTCATCGTGTGGACAGAGCACCCCTATAAAACCTGATAGCGACTAGGAGGGACAACTAAGCAAGGTGAATAATTCAGAACATGAAGGGTAATTACTTTCTGACTAATGAGACGATGGCATCCAACTTAGTTGCAGCCTGACATGTTAACTGAGATGACAATGAACTCTTAGAGGTTTGGACAAGGGCACATGCCTTTTTATGAGTGTAGCTTCACAATCCAGCATAGCAGCTCTCCTTTATTTTTCTTGCTCTTTAGCTTTCTGTTACTACATCCAGGCATCCTGACCATTAATCTTCTGCCAATATATGGCAAAAGGCAAGCTGGGGGCGTCATCTTGTGAAGAAAAGACATGTAAAAGATCTGTTTGGCTTGGTTGTCCAAATTTAAATTATTTTGCACTATGTTAGGACCTACCCAGGTAACCTGAATAGCTTGTCAGATAGGAAGAAAAGAAGAAAGGCAAGAAAGGTTTGAGTCTAATGCAGCAACTAATAGGAAAGGGGGAAAAAAGAAGGGACAGGAAGCTTACATTTGCTTTTGAGCGACTTACTCGCCTCCTGTTTATGCGAATCTGTGTGAATAATGCACATCAGAAACAAATTGAAGCAAGAGTTCCTTTAAGTCTTATATTCTATATGAAAATGCCATTATTTGTAACTCTAGCCAAGTCTTCCCAAGTCTGGTTCTCTCCATGGCTATAGTTAAACGAAACTGTAGAACAACATATTGTGGAAAGCTACTTTAATCCTGTTGAAGTCCAGAAGGCTCAAGTATTTTTACTCAGAAGTGAGTCCCATTGCAAGACATTAATTCCACTGTATATATAAAAAAAGGAAATCCCACTATGAAAAGGTTTATAAACTTGAAATGTGAATTAATCACAGGATGCTAAGAATTCCTTGGAGATCACTGACAAAGTATTATAGTATACAAGCAAAGAAAGAAATCATAAAACCACATACAGTTGACCCTCGACTTAAAGACTTACAGACTTCTCTGGCTGCAAAATTTAGGTTTGACTTGCAGCCAGAGAATCAACCTACAGACTGAAAAAAAAACCCAAAATGGAACAAAAACGGCCAGCTATGGATTAATCGGGTTTCAATGCATTGTAGGTCAATGAAGCCTCGACCTGCAGCCACCACTCCAATACGGATTAATTCCATAAGTTGAGGGTCCACCGTAATACAGAAAATTTCAGTCACAAAGAATGAGAAATGAAAAGTATAGATTGTTACAACTAATTATTCAAGGTAAGATAAATGGAAAAGAAGTACATGAAGGAGAAGGATATATTAGCTAAAGAACACTGAAGACTGGTTTGGATGCAGCATAAAATCACTGTTTAAAGGCACTGCATCAGATAGCATAGTCATGATGATGTCCAGTCTCTGGTATAAGAGGAACCACAAGTCCTACTAAGCAAAACTTCCATTTAGGATGACAGCCTTAAAGTACCGTACTATGCCTATCTGACATGACTGACCTGTGCCAGATTCTTTCTCACAATATTTATGTAACTTACTTGGGTGCAGATATAGAGAGTGGCAGGGGAAATATAAAGGGACACCACAAAGAACTCTGTGCTGTTTCAGCCTGTGTGACATCCCTTTCCTATCCACCATTCATGAATTAAGGTGGACTTAGCATCCCAAGATGGGACATTATTGGCTATGAAAGAGAGTCTTGAAAGAAAGAATCCAGTGAAATACATCCAGTTTCTGTAAGATAATGTGCAGTGATTTTCCTTGAATAAAATAGCACACTTTAAAATATGGTCAACAAGTAATAAAAACAGATATGGTTGTAGGAGATCCACAGCAATCAAACAGAGTCCCAATGGTGCCATGTTTTTAAGGCCTGAAAGAACTATCATCAAATGTCTTTTGGCAGCTATAATTCTATGCCTCCCTCTATTCTTCTTCCATTACAGAAAAATAGGGTTGATACATAAATAAGGCTGGTGGACTGGGCTTAATTTGGCAAGAAAGTTATGTTGACAGCTCCAGCAGAGACACCAGTGCAATCTCTTGGAACCAGACCAAAGCAACAATATCTGTCTGAAAAAAAATATTGAGGTATTGTCCAATTTTCTTGGTTCCCAGGTGTGCATGTTGCTTGGGAGGCTCATGCTTCCTGTTAACTTCAGATCCCAGTCTTGGAAGTGATCCAGTCTCGATAGTAAGTCACTCGTGTATAGACTCCAGGCTTGTTTGGCTTTGCGCATTCATCACCCCAACTCACTATGCCAACTAGGTACCATATTCTTCTGGGATCAGACGTAACCAGTGGACCACCAGAATCACCCTAGAAACGAAATAATTAATAACTATATGCTATCAACTTGATTCCTACTTATGGCAAACTTTCTAGCATCTTCTAGATATTAAGTTCTCAGACATAGTTTCCCAGTCCCTCCTCCTGGTGGCATCCTGTGTCCACGCAGCCTGACCAACACTGCACATATAATAGAGCATGTTATCCCTTCAGCCACACACCGTCTGGGTGATCTCAGCTGGCCTCTCTCCTGGTAGGCACAGTGGGGATTTGAACGTTCAACCCCTGGCTCTGAACCCAGGTGCTCCTGCTGATTAAGCTTTGCTAATTTCAGAAGAGGAAATGAGATCTTTTTTAATATGCAGAAAGGAAAATATTATTCTTTGCAAAGGCAACATCAGAAGTAGGGTTATATCTGCCTGCTCAAGTGTCTTCATAGATGGCAAAGATGACAGAAGAAGATTAAGACTAGCAGATCAAGTGGTGATTTGTTTTGATTTGTGGTTCATCAAGGTTGATGAAACACGAATTTAAAAATAATGATTATTTTATGAATCGAGGAATGAATTTGACAATTAATGTTTTAGCTCCACGCACCTAAAGACACCAACATTTCAGGGAAGTTTCCCCTGACCCTCCTCTACAAGCCCTACATGTCTGGTGAAGTTTGGGTTTCGAATGTCCAAATTATACACCCACAAGGAGGGGCCCCCTGGAAAGTTCTCCCCAGATTTCGAATGTCCAAGTTATACACCCACAAGTTCACATACAATCCTAACCAGTGGTTCCCAACCTTGGCTGCTCAGATGTTCTTGGACAGCCTAGAGAAACCAGAATCACAGAGAAGCTTTAATTGACCCTCTTCTACAATCCCTCCAAGTTTGGTGAAGACTGGGTTTCAGATATCCAAGTTATATACCCACAAAGTGGGTCCCCCCCCCTTTAGCAGCAGGCTTGAGGAAACCCAATCTTCACCAAACTTGGAGGGCTTGTAAAGGATCTCTAACATCCTCCACTTTATCGACTAAATATCATCTCCCTGTGAGTGCAGAAGGGCAGCACCTCCAGCTTCAGCATTTGCTGGTGTCCATCTTTGGTTCACTTGCACTAAGTGCTTCAGAATTTCCTTAGCTGTTGGAGGGAATTATTAAATCTGTTCAGAAACCTAAGCCTGTAACTGGTTTATAAATGTTGAATAGATTTTTATAAGAACTTAGAAAGATACAGAATTAAGAATTAGAAGTTCACATACAATCTAAACCAGTGGTTCCCAACCTTGGCTGCTCAGATGTTCTTGGACAGCAACTCCCAGGAATCCTGGCCAACACAGCTAATGGTGAGGGCTTCTGGCAGTTTTAGTCCAAGAACATCTGGGGACCTAAGGTTGAGAACCACTGATCTAAACAATGGAGAATGGCATTAGAATCTATATGGGATATTTCCTTAGACTTGAAATTGAGATAACTACTACTACTACTACTACTACTACTACTACTACTACTACATTTAGAATATACTGAACTCCACCAACAGTTGTTTAGGAAGGGATTGTAAATCTGACGGTTGTTGGAGATATAATACTAGAAATGTATCCTTAAGACATATGTTTGTAGTAATGTATGGTATTTCTGCTTGTATTGGGGCTCTAACAAATGGGCAACAAAACTGGACTTTCCTCATGGAGGCTAAGAGACCTGGGGGGTGCTCAAACAAGGATATAATTGACTATTTGGTTTGATTTGACAACAACAACAACAACAACAACAACAACAGCAACAGCAACAGCAACAGCAACAGCAACAGCAACAGCAACAGCAACAGCAACAGCAACAGCAACAGCAACAGCAACAGCAACAGCAACAGCAACAGCAACAGCAACAGCAACAGCAACAGCAACAGCAACAGCAACAGCAACAGCAACAGCAACAGCAACAGCAACAGCAACAGCAACAGCAACAGCAACAGCAACAGCAACAGCAACAGCAACAGCAACAGCAACAGCAACAGCAACAGCAACAGCAACAGCAACAGCAACAACATTTAGAATATACTGAACTCCACCAACAGTTCTTTAGGAAGGGATTGTAAATCTGACAGTTGCTGGAGATATAATACTAGAAATGTATCCTTAAGACATATGTTTGTATTAATGTATGGTATTGCTGCTTGTATTGGGGCTCTAACAAATGGGCAACAAAACTGGACTTTCCTCATGGAGGCTAAGAGACTTGGGGATGATCAAACAAGGATATAATTCACTATTTGGTTTGATTTGGTGCAGATTGGTCTGCCTGATTTTCTGGTGACCGCATGTGTTTTATTTTAAACACAATAATAATAAACAAGAGTAATCCATCCTGCCCATTTTGCAAGCTGTTTCACTCTTTTCTGCCACAAAGCTAGAGCTGCAGTTTATTTGAGGCAATTGGGAGTGCCCTGCGAGGTGCTAGTCCCCTTCTATTCAGCACTGGTTAGGCCTCACCTTGAGTATTGTGTCCAGTTCTGGACACCACACTTCAGGAAGGATGCTAACAAATTGGAACAGGTTCAGAGGAGGGCGACAAGGGTAATCAGGTGGCTGGAAACCAAGCCCTGTGAGGAAAGGCTAAAAGAATTGTTTAGCCTTGAGAAAAGAAGACCGAGGGGAGATACGACAGCACTTTTCAAATATTTGAAAGGGTGTCATACAGAGGAGGGGCAAATCTGTTCCCCATCATCCCAGAGTGCAGATACACAATATTGGGCTCAGTGTACAGGAAGCCAGATTTCAGTTGAATGTCAGGAATAAATTCCTAAGTCAGGAATAAATTCCTAAGTTACCTTGGGAGTTGGTGAGTGCTCCAATACTGGAGACATTCAAGAAAAACTTAGGTAATCACCTGGCAGATATGCTTTGTTTTCCTGCATTGAACAGGGGGTTGGACTTGATGGCCTTGTAGGCCCCTTCCAACTTCACTTTTCTATGATTCTATGCTCCTGTTTTGCAGTCTGTGTGGTTGTTTAATTTGCTGTCAAATAGAATTATGGGTGGCATTCTCTTTGGTGACCACCTTGTGATTTATGCAGTGGGCTGCCACAGTACAAAGGAAAGCAGCGGAACTCTAGGCCAAGAACATCTGGAGGGCCACAGTTCGACACCACTGTAAGTGATGCAGCACGATTTCAGGTATAAGGGAGCATCCATGCTAAGTTGAGCTGTAGTGCTATGCCATTTAGTAAGTTAAACAACAAAAAAGGGAAGTTAGCACAACCAATGCAAAAGGTGAGAAAAGGGACAGGGAGGGGTGTCAATAATGAAAACAGAGAGAAACTTGAAGCATCTGTAGCACTGTCTCGATCCTTCTCACAGGAGAAAAAACTACTCCCATGCAAATGGAAGGATTGCTCAGTGTGAGATAAAATAGATTGCACTGAAAGTACGAGCTTTAAAAGTGAACCAGACTGCTCCATATTCCACCATGTTGCACCTTTATACTCCAAGCTTGGAAGATAAACATCCATCATCCACTATCCACCATGGTTGGAGGATCTGTTAGCACTAGTTTCATTTGAACTATTATACAGATGCTAATTTCATTAGGAAATTTACTTGGACGTCTGGTTTAATTGTACAATTTGAGATGTATGGACTGAATTTTACAACTGTATTCATAATGCAGACTTCATTCATTCATAGGCATAGGAGAAAAAACTACTCCCATGCAAATGGAAGGATTGCTCAGTGTGAGATAAAATAGATTGCACTGAAAGTACGAGCTTTAAAAGTGAACCAGACTGCTCCATATTCCACCATGTTGCACCTTTATACTCCAAGCTTGGAAGATAAACATCCATCATCCACTATCCACCATGGTTGGAGGATCTGTTAGCACTAGTTTCATTTGAACTATTATACAGATGCTAATTTCATTAGGAAATTTACTTGGACGTCTGGTTTAATTGTACAATTTGAGATGTATGGACTGATTGTTACAACTATATTCATAATGCAGACTTATAATGGTGGTTTATAGTGAATACTAACATTATTGTATTTGATTTTTATTTTTTTGCCTCTGTATGGAGAGGAAGGTGTACTGCTTTTATTTTTCTCTATGTTCTATAAAAAGATACAGCACTTTCTATTTTGCTTACATTTACTGATTATCTTCTATATTTTCCTTTCCTGATCCATTATTTGGAGTCTTTGATGTCTGTCTAATTGCTGTTAGTGCCTAATATCTGACTGTGATTTATTTTTGTTCTCTGCACACCATTGCCATTATCTGCTTTTGGAGTAGATGATTGTTTGTTGCATTCCATATTTTTTTAAGTAGCTTTGAGGGATCTGTAGGGCTTAATTTGGTCTAGTAGCAGAAACTTGAGAGAAACTGAAATGAAAGAACCCAATGGATCCAGTCCGCTTTGTGTTTACTGAAAGCGCCAGCACCCAAATACTCCAAAATTTATAGGGCACCCCTCAAAAAAAATCCAAAATGAATACAATCTGAAAGTTCCCTAGGGACTGTTGCCTGTTTCTACTACAGCGCAGTAAGGAAGCATAAACACATTTTGCAGCATGCTAAGGTGTTCAGAAGCTTTCTGTGAAGGAGTTTCCCCCTTAAACTTACTATTCTCTTCTATTCTGATCTATTAGTCTTACCTGACAAGCATCACTCCCTCCTTCTAAGTACCCAGCACACAGCATTCCAGGTGTAATGGCATAATTATACACTTCTCTTCTGTTACAAATCTCATTGCTTATAATTTTCACTTCTGTTTGACGAAGTTCACCAACACTTGGACCTGGGAAATAATTCAAAATAAGATTAGAATTATAAGCAAGACCAGTGATATTTCACAGAATGTCTGAAGGGTAATGCAATCATACCAACTGCATATAGCTCTCCTCCATGTGATAACCCAACATTAGCCATATCTTTCTGACACACAATCACATAGCATTTACAAAAGCACCCTATCCCATCTAGTCACTAATGCACACACAGCATCTCACCCTGAATGGGGGAACTGGCCATGGGGTAAAAGGCTCCAGACTTGTGCCATGAAAAACCTTTAGCTTTTAAATATTTTTAAATGTCATTTAAAATATTTATATCCTGCCTTGAGTCCTTTTAGTAAGCCATACTAGAGCAGGCCCATTGAAACAGTGGGAATTTTGGTGAGTTAACTGCTCCTTTGATTCAAGTGGGCCTATGCCAGCTGTGACTTACTTTAGTGTAGGAAGTTGCAACTAGAGTAGGTCTATCTGAATCAATGGAGCTTATGGAGAAGTTGACTCACCAAAGCAACACTGGTTCAATGAGCCTATTCCAATATATTGTGCTAAGCAACAGGATTCCAGCCAGTGCGTGTTCTGAGTTAAGAAGTGTCTTCAGGCATATAAATAAACAGGCAGCCCACCATCTCCTTCTAGAATGGTTTGACATTATGATGCCTCTGGATGATCAGGCTTGATTGCATTCTAGAAACCCAACCCTTTCCCTTGTCAGGTCAATAACATGTTATGACATGGGTCTACCAGATTACATAGACAGCAGTACCTGCTTTACAAGGAATGGGATAAAACAGACATGTCTGTCTTCAGTGCAACTATTGTCAAAGTTGACATTACAGACTGATATTATTATTGGGTAGCTGGGAGAGTCTACCTATCCAGACTGCTGATTATCTGATCGTAACAGAAAGAGCTTTTCTGCTTAGCTTCCAATATTCTATAGAAAGTTTAAGCTCCTCAGGTACTAGGCCCAACTCTGTATCATGTCTGAACCCTGTGGTAGCTGCTACAACACCTTCACCTTGCTCCGCTCTCTTTAGGTGCCTGGTGGTTGGGAACGGACCCCCTGGAAAAGGCTGCATTAACAGAAAATAACTTAGTATTTCCATAACATAGAACAAGGCCCATCATGGTGAAGATCCCACTTGGTCAACAGCTATATTCATCTTCTATTGACTTGACAGCACACAACTATTATTATTATAGGTAATGATGACTAACCATCATCTCTCAGAGCACCATATCCTGTGACAAAACAGGTCGTGTTTTCTGGAAAGAACTGTGTAGCCTCTGGAAGACAAACATGATGTACAGCCGCAGAAAACTGCACTGGGGGCACAATCTTTACGACTGCAATGTCAAAATTATGATTCATTACATTATTGGCATAATCCTCATGAACAATGATCTGTTGAAGGTTCCTTCTCATTGTTGGAGGGTTTAACCGGGCCCCAAAACTAGCTGTCCACCTGCTGATATCCCTCGCTCTGAAAGACATTTGAAATTGCAAGTAACAGAACAATAATTATTTTAACTTAGTAGTGACATTATTTTGTTTTTTACTCTGGCCTTTCTGAAGCCCGTACTTCCCAATAAATTAATAACAAGGCATAGGAAGAAACATCAAAGCAAGACTTCTTTCTTTTCTGACTAATTCAGCACCACAGTTCCTCCCCACAGATCTTCCATTGCCCCAACACAAAATATAGATCCATCTTAGAAAGGAGAAGACCGCATGGACAGATATTTGCAGAAGAGAATCAGTGGGCAGATTTATCACTAAGTCACATTTTTCTCATATACAGCAATATCTATGAGAAGTTGTTAGTGCACATATGTGCATAAATTAAATGTAGCAGTTGTAGTAGTAGTAGTAACAAATAACTTATATTCTACACGAGAGCACATTCCAATAAAATCAATAAAACATACAAAACATGGAAACTCAACATCTAACAACTTTAATTTGTGCATCAACATAAAATTTGGAATGAGCAGTCATCCAGGAAGAATTAAACTAACTACCAACCAATCTATTAGAAAGTTTAAATCAAAATGCATTGGTTTCTCTCCTCTCACAACACCTGACACCTACAGCTTCTTGCTGTTTTCAAACCTCATCTAAATTTGTCCAACTCTGGTTCTGTATGGAGCTGTAGGAGGAGATCATTCCACCACATCTAAATTTGTCCAACTCTGGTTCTATATGGAGCTGTAGGAGGAGATCATTCCACAGCTTTGGAGCCAAATGGGAGGGGAACTGCTGACGTCTGGAATGTTCCACCTTCATCTAAGAGACCAACAAAAGTCCCAAATCTGTGGACTGAGTTCTTTTAAGAGGAATATGTGATGCCACCTACTAAATAATTAGGCCAGGAAAAATGTAAGGCTTTCAATGTCAAGACAAGTAGTTTAAAATATGTCATCGACCAGACAGGCAGCCAATGCAATGCCCTATGATGCTAGAAAATATGGGACTCATTTGGTAATTCTTTTTCATAATGTGATGGTGGAACTGTATTGGTCAGACATAATATTGGGCCAGGGGTGGAAGGAGGGTTCTCACCCTCTAAAGCAGTGAGCAGCAGTTACAAGCCATCTGTCACTGATCAGTGTTGCCCCACAGCGATGGATGCCGTTCAGCTGAAGACTAGCTTGCCATGGCCATTCCCCTTCCTCGGCAATGTTTCCTCCAAAGATTCTCTCCTCGCTTCTGTTCGTTCGTGTTCCACAACCTGCCAAATAACATTTTCTTAGCCCAGTTTCTTTCCAGGAGATAAAAACTTTTGACGTAATTTGATGATTGTCCTTTTAAAAAGGTAGATTAGCTTTATTTTTTCTCCTTCAAATTTATTTTTCATACATTTTTACAAAAGAAAAGCCAACAAAAAAAATTTGTCTGCATTCTGAAAATATGAAAAGTGCCCCAATTCTATGTTAGACTCTATGGCTTTCCCACTGTTTTTAGTGGGACTTGTATAACCTCTGTATGAGGCTTTTCTTTGTGTCCCATTGATGGAATTTTACAGGGGTTCTAGGTGTTGTCTTTTCTCATTTGTAACCCTCTCATGTTTTCCCAGCACTTCTGAGGCAGGCTAGTGGCTTAATGCTTGACCCTTCTTCTATATTACAGCATTGCCTAACCTGCATTACACATTCACTGGGGTTATTCAGTCTCTGATTTCTAGTGTTTAGAGATCCAAAGGCCTTAAAATGTTCATATGAAACAAAATGGCAGCCTGCAAACTTAGGCCTGATGTCACAGGTGCAAAGACATATGATTCAAGAAGCAACATAAAAATGTTTATGTTTATTGAATCTACCATATAACTGTTAAACATCTAAAATGTTTCATCAGTACTTGATTTGTATATATCAGAAGGCAACTTAATTTATCTTGGTATGATTGGCTTTCTTGATCTAAAATGTTTCATCAGTACTTGATTTGGTATGAGTGGCTTTCTTAGTGTGTATTGCTAGAAACTGGCTTCTTTGAGCATTGTTTCAATATTCCCCATCTTTCTGACTTTTATATAAACATAACTCATACTGCAATTGCGCCCAAGGGTGACTCTTCCGTCACTTAGAAGATCACATACAGGCAACAGGGCAACTATGAGAGAAGGAAAAAAGAGGGTGTATCAATGGTTGTCATGTGTCAAAGACTACAGCAAGGTGTTGACCGCAGCCATAACTAATCTCATACCTAAGAAGACAGAATCTGGTGTATTAACTGACACTACAGGATATGGAAATCCTCAGAAGTGCAGCACAAGGCCAGCTAGAGGGTCCTGTTGCCTTCAGTTACACCACATAAGACCAATGACATCAGCAGCACTGACAATTTTTTAAAAATAAAACATTCCTGAATTCTTCCCTGCAGGTCCTGAGGTTTCTGTATAATCACTTTCATTACTAGTCAGCCATTGGGGGCTTCAGGATGGGAAGAAAGGTATTTAATTACAGATGATTGCTGCCACTGAGGGTCTGACCATGTTGGCTAAAAATGTGGGGAATGCTAAGGGGTTTAGGACAGGTTGATTTACATTTTTTTCTGTTGACCACATAATTCAAAGGGAAATGCAAATCATCCTGAAACTCCCCCCCCCCATGTGTAGTTTTTCCCTCCACCACTGGGGCTTTTACTTTTTAAAAAACAGATCTATTTGCATTGGTTCAGAAAGTATGGTCATCTGAGCTGATGCAGAAAAGTGCAGTAGCTGTTGTGGGGTTGGATGGGAGAGATTTCTAACTGCAAGTATCCCGAGAGGCAATTGGCTTTTTATAGGGGACATATCCTGGCTTCACCAGTTAAGAACTGTTCATTTGCTTCACTTTTATTTCAGTCTCTACTGACATGATTATTTATAGTGACCCTCTCTCCAGCCAGGCCCCTTGTGAACTGTCATTGTTCAGTCATCAAGTCAGGTCCAACTCTTCGTGACCCTATGGACCAGAGCACGCCAGGCCCTCCTGTCTTCCACTGCCTCCCAGAGTCGGGTCAAATTCATATTGGTAGCTTCAATGACACCTCTTCTTGATGTCTTCTGCTTCTGTGAGGTCCCTACCATTTTTGTCCTTTATCATGTCCATCTTTGCACAAAATGTTCCTTTACCATCCCCAATTTTCTTGAACAGATCTTTGGTTTTTCTCTTTCTATTATTTTCCTCTATTTCTTTGCACTGTTCATTTACGAAGGCTCTCTTGTCTCACCTTGCTATTCTTTCGAAGTCAGCATTCAATTTTCTGTAACTTTCCCTATCTCCCTTGCATTTTGTTTCCCTTCTCTTCTCTGCTCTTTGTAAGGCCTCGTTGGATAGCCACTTTGCTTTCTTGCATTTCCTTTTCTTTGGGATGGTTTTTGTTGCTGCCTCCTGTACAGTGTTCTGAGCCTTCATCCATAGTTCTTCAGGCACTCTGTCCACCAAATCTAGTTCCTTGAATCTGTTCCTCACTTCCACTGTGTATTCATATGGGATTTGGTTTAGCTTATACCTACTATAAGAAGCTGATGATCAGAGGCACAGTGAGCTCCAGGTCTTGTTTTTGCTGACTGTATAGAGCTTCTCCATCTTTGGCTGCAGGGAACATAATCAATCTGATTTCAGTATAGCCCATCTGGTGATGTCCATGTGTAGAGCTGCCTCTTGTGTTCTGTGCACTGTACCTAGCATTCTTTTATTTTATTTTTATTTTTTGGCCTTCAGGGCTACTTTCAGCTTTCCAGATATGCCTTTTATTCAAAAGGAGATTGCCCTTCTTTGACACACCAACTACACAACTTGCCTGGCCTTACATTTCCCCCCTTTTTGTGCTTGAAATGGATCTGATTGGAGAAAGTGAGCAAGTGGGGAAAATATCATTTACTGTATTTCATTTAAAGAAAAGCATTAGGCCCAAAGCTAGGGGAAGCAGATAATGGCAGCATTCCTCAGGATGCTTCTCTCTCTCTACAAAAAATAATTTTGAAAAATTAAACAATTAAAAATTGAGAATGAGAGGAGGAAAATGCCATCTTCCTTGTTTATAGTTCTTCTGAACCCATTCCCCTCCATAGCTACATTAAGAAACTGTAAACAAAGCAGTTTAGCCACTTTCCTTCTTTGCCTGTATGGCTAGTTAATTGGAGCAGATTCAGCAAAACCTATATTTCCTGATGAGATTTCACAGGAAGTGAATTCACATTTCTCTCACTATGTACTCACACCTGAGATGACTTTACTGGCAATGGCAATTTTTGATAAGTTTTGCTTTCTGATGATGAAACTGATTACATGGCAGCCTTGGAATCTTTGGGGGAAAAGTAGGAAATATTTTATTTCCAATTTTTTTAAAAAAAAAAATCACCACTGCTGCTGCTATCATTAGCCTTACGCAGATGAACTGATATCAACAGGATTTCAAACAATGTCTTGTAGTAGTTTTGGAATGGATATGGATAAACAAACTGAAGCTTAATCCAGTTAAGACGGAGATACTGTTGGGTGAGGACATGCTAATTAAGGTTGTGGTATACAAGATATTTTTAGTTTCCCTGAAAAATTATGTCTCTAACACGTGGGTATCCCCAGAGGAAGTTCTGCTTCTGAGCAAACAGGAAGGAAAGCATATTTAAAGATAATAAAACAACTAAGCCATAAATACAATATTCCCTCTAATTTTCCATCAGTGATGGGCATGAGCAACCCCACATGACTGAAAGCAAATAGGCAGCAACTCTGGCTGCATGTGCACATGGAAGGGAACGTTGCCCAGATACCTTAGAGGGAATGTTGCCCAGATACCTCTGAAATATGGGGTGCGTCTGAATGAAGGGCTTATTGTTTCTCCTTGCTATCAACAACATTTTGCAACTAGTCCGTCTTCCCCTCTTAATCTATAGTAAGATGGAAGAAGCAGTGGGAAAACACAGGAAAGTTGCCTTCCTTTCTTCCCCTGCTGTAAAATTCCACAATGGAGGCACAGCTATTTCACTATTAAAAATGAGCTGGGAGCAATCATGGAGCTCAAAGTGTTGTGTTGGTGTTTCCGAAGTGCTGTGAACTTTTCCAAAATGCTGAGTGACTTGCATAAATTTCTTGTGGGAGCAAGAACATCCTTGTAATCAAGGTACAATTTCAAGATATTTGAAGTCCCACCAGTTCCACATCTCCTCTGGCTCCCTCTTGCTAGTAGCTCAGGATGAAGACTGGGGCCTCATCATGCTTGCTAGCAGTGAGGTAAGTAAGCACATTCGATAAGCCTTTCCAGATAAATAGATTATAACCCTTGCTTTTCTGCTGTGAACTACAAAAACTGAGCTATAGTTCATTTTCCACACTATCTGGTGATACTATGCATTCTCTGTGTATAAAATTCCACTCAACTGGAAAAGTTTTATATGTTAGTAATATATTCTTCTACAGTAGCCTTATTAGGCATTCTCTTTTAAACTTCATCGAACATGTGAAGAGAGGAACGGTCTAATCTGGCCCTCTTCAATCACCATTTTGCTCATGTGAAAACCTAAATGTCTAAAGAGGAGATTCTCCTGTACATGAGAAGACTCTCCATATAGTTCTGACTTTCCAATGCAAAGCAACAAAATAGCATTTCTCCCCTCCTTAACTCTAAGGATGCTGAAACAGAACTATTATTAATCTCTCCCTCTCTCGCTTTCCCTAGGTGTGAGTGACTCTGTCAACCTCTTGTTGACCATGACATGCATCGAAGGTGTGCAGGCCATTTTCTGCAGATCCTTCCTCCTCCTCACCACAGCTCATCTATTTCACAGAACCCTGGAAACTGGAGGAGCAGCTGTGAGAAGAAAGGACAAGGCCCATTCTGGCCCAGTTGTTTGTACCTATATCTTATTCCCTCTTCTGTGGTTTCAGTCACTGACATTTTAGCAGGGTGATTAATGGAGAAAATGACTGAAAATTTTCTCCATTACTTTTTAAAATCAACATGATACAATTCAGTCCTTTGTAACATCTTGACTGACACACGTCTTAGTGAGGCAATGCACTCAGTAACCATGTTGTTGTTGTTGTTGCTACATGCCATCAAGTCAGGACTGACTTACAGTGACCCTAACAGGGCTTCCAAGATATATAAGGAGTGGCTTTATGAGTTCCCTCATCGAGCTTTAATGGTTGAGGAGGAATTCAAACCCAGGCTTCTCTGTCCTAATCCATCACTCTTTCCACTACATCACACTGAGTATCCAAAAACCACATAATGCTCCCTAGTTCCTTTACCACACATTCAGAAGTGTAGCATCGTAATACAGAAATAAATTATGTTTTAAAGAAGCATTTCAAGTGGCTTTGCATGTGATAACCACCCTGTAGGAAACCTGGAGGACAACAAAGAACAAGCAATCTGGGAGAATACAACAAAGTCTAAGCATTGTTGGTCTAAGGCAGTTGTCTGTAGAATTATGCGAACTGGAAGATACCAGGTAGAGAAGACTGCTGTTTGTCGTTTCTAATAAACGTAACCCATTTTTAGTACTTACAACTGTAGATAAGTTTTTCACCATTTTCTGCATTAATCTCTGGAAAAGAAGACAGAGGAGACATTAATACTGTCAATCTGAGGAATTTTCACTTCTTTGACTAGATTTTTAAAACAAGAGAGTTACTCAGCTCTTCATGGGCTATCATATGCAGTTGCAGTGAGGGTTCAGCCTTTTAAGTTACCAGAAGTTGCACAAATCTGTTACAAACTGAAATATTTAGAAGTATTTGGGGTTTGCACAAATCATTTGACTAACTGTTAGGAGCTTTAAAAGTTCCTGTTGTACTTTGGCTGTTTCTTAATAACCTTTCATACTCCAATATCTATAAGTAGTGTATTCCAATATTAGTATGAAATCACCATCTATCAATCTTGTTTTGTCAAAAGAACATTATCATTCATGATATATATAGAGAAAACTACATATAACTATATAGAAACAGTTCCAGCTTGATGCTTTGCACAGTGTAACAAATTTAAAAAGTGAAAGCAACATTTCTAATTCTAAGTTTTTATCCAAAAAACTGATAAAGCAAAAAGTTATTCTGGACAGATGGCTGTATTCCAGAATGTGGCCAGTTAATTATTTACTAAATTAAGAACTTCATTTACTGGAATGATCAGTTCGGATGCAATTCTGTACAGGATTCCATCTTTTTAAGGTATAATGTGTAGCCTGTAATTGCAGCCACAAATTATTGGGAAAAGTGTCACACAAATATGCTGCCAACTTTTACCAAATGACAATAAGTCTTTCCGAGCCTATGAAGGGCAGAGGGATAAGACAGATACTCCAAACCTGACCTATCATGGTCATTCTCTAACCCAGGATTACCTGGAGGTCAATTATTTGACTGATGGCTTGTCTTAGAGATGAAATCTTGGGCCTCAGCTTGAATTTGAACGTGAGTCAATGAATTTTGGAGTACAATTCCTGAAAGTATCAGGAATTGTGCTCCAAAAATCCTAACTCTTTCCACCTTTAGATAAGAGTGGGAACCTTTGCACTTGCCTTGTCGAGACCTAGATAGTTCAGAGGTCTTCCTACTTGCCAGTATTAGGATCTACTGAAGCACACTTTTAGCCCCTTTTATCCTGGTGATTGAGGCCTGAGCACATACAGTGCCATGTTGCTCATCAAACCAGATCCCAGACTCACTTGATAGAGTTCCTAGATCAAGCCCTGAAATCCTTCCTGGTTTGTCATTTCCATAGTGCCAACCACAGTTCTCTATCATAAAACAAGCCTGAGGAGGGGACTGTACAGCATTGGTCCTCTAAAGCAATCAACTCTTTTGTTGTTCATGGAGCCCGTTGGGGAGCCGGTCCCATCAGAGAGGGAAGGTCTAGCCTTCAGTAGACCGAATCTCTGCCTGAATGTGGAGGAACAACATCCAGAGGGGCATCACAGTATGGGGCAACAGGGGATTTGCTCCAGGGCACCCATATTAGATGGTGTACCCCTTCACCAGTATCCCATGGCAAAAGCATCTGAAACTATACCTCAGGTATTGGCCATAGGTAAAGCTAATAGAAGACAAGGACTTTGGGGCAGTTCAGATTTTCAGTGCAGTGCTGAAGAAGTGGAAAACCGATGGTTAGTATATCAGGGCTTGTTGAGGCAGTACACGGCAAGTCTACAGCAGGCTCAGTAGAACCAAGCCTTACCCATTGGAGGACAGGTGTACCCAAGAAACGGTAGACCAGGTTGCTGGACCAGATGTGGAGAAGCAGGAGGCATAGGTTTCCAAACAGACAGAAGGTCTACCAAGATTGTGAGTAGACAAGATCTCCCCTGTCAGAATACATGCCCTTCCAGAGCTCAGTAGATCAGACCTCAGGGCTAAACAGTAGCATTCTCTCTCTCTCTCTCTGTACACATACATATGCCCTACATTGCTAGTTATGCCTCTGTCTGCATCACAGATACCACCTATGCCAGTGTAAGCACTGTAGCTTGCTACTGCAAAATCATACACCAAATAGTCAAATACAACTTCAAAACTGTGTTCTTTATCCACTGTTCTAGTCAGAGATGGCCAAAGATCTTTCAAGGTCAGAGACTAAATACTCATCAGACTCTTCCCATTGAGAATGCCATTAAGAAAGGTAAAGGGAAGACAAAAAGATCAGATCTACAGTGTATTATCTTCTGCTGCTTGAGAAGAAAAATCTTCTGCTTGAGTCTCATTGAAATGAATGGAATCTATGGAACTACATGGCCATGGAACTGTCCAACGAAACTAGCAATCGGAACGATCCATCTCCCAGTCTCTTGGCCTCAAGGATGACCAAGTGACAGAAAACAGCAGATGATCATATGTATAATTAAACCTCCTTCAATTTGTTAGCAAAAATTCTGTAAGGGCTGATTTCAAAGGATTTACTACTGGCTGCCATTCTTTCCAGCTGTTTCCTGGCTTTTAAACTCATAATTATCCATTAAGAAAGTATGTACTCTTCTTCAATACTACTGTCACCAGAGCTTAAACAAATGGAGATTATGGTTCTGCCTCTGAGGCAATTTAGACATGAGTGAAAGATCATAAACCTGTCCAACAAACTTCTTTCTTCTCCTTACAACTGGCTCTGGGCATCAATTAGTCAAGCAATTTATACTTCCATTTGTTTGCTGGAGTTATACAACCATGATAGAGATCAATCAATCAATCAATCTATATATATAGGGACAGAGTCTGATAGGGTGGAACGAAGTGCATTCAAGGGAGTAGAGTTAATTAAAAAAACGGAAGGTCACTAGTCATAAGACAAAAGTTCTGTAGCATACAAGCATCCTAAGAAAAAAGAATTTAAAAGCTTATGATAACAGAATACAGTTCAAAGTACAATACAAAAGAAAAAAAGAATTGTGGAGGTTGAGGGAGAGGTAACCAAGATTAAGATTGTTTTTGACACTTGCCTGAGAGCTTGTAAGAATGAAGGTCAATACTCAAGGGTTGCGTTGGTAATTTCAGCCTCCTTAGCAAAACATTATTAACGTTTATCCAGAGTGCTTCTTTATTATCTGAGCCAGGGAACCTAAGTATCAGCACCACCTCTGCCAGGACTCCACCATTGACTGAGCTGGGGGGAAAAAGTCCCAGAGAGCTGTTCAAGTAAGTTAAGAGTATTTCTCCAACTTCTATGGGTTCTTCTACACAGTCTAGATTGGCTTGAGACAACTGACGTGGAAAACTGATGAAGTGTCTCTACTGGGGCACAGCCACAGATTTTCCCCTGCTCAGTTCCTCTTGAAATTGACAGGTGCTGACCATACAGGAACTCATGTGAGTGAAAGTTCTTTGATGAGAACATTTGGCTGAAATTCCTGCTATTTCCTCAGCCCCTCACCTCTCACATTTGAAGAATTCCCTCATTCCAGGTCACCAAATGTCCCTCCAATGGTAGAGCAAGGCAAACACCACCATGTTCTTCTACATGTTCTGCTAAACCTCTTGTTCCTTCACTAAGCTTGTATTTCCCACTGACGCAAATGAGGTTTGTGCAGAAGACCCTCCAGAGTATTCCATCCCTTCATGTCTGTCTGTGTCCCACATTGTCCTTAATGGCACCATGAACTTGCAACCTGAGGTAGCTATAGCATCCATTCTGACTGTGATCATGGTCTTTATTCAAGGAACTTTGGGAAATACAAGCCTAGTGAAGGAACAAAAGGCTTAGCATTTCATTTACATGAGTATAACTCTACTGCTTTAATCTTTGCTTAAATCTGAAGTAAAAAAGAACCCAAGGGGATATAAAAATACATAAACCTTTCTTCCCTAGTCTTCTCTGCTTTAAAAAAATGCATTTACTTTTAGTATTATCTTTGGAATCTCTATCCTGCCCTTCAACAGAATTCCCATATTCCCAATATGACCAAGTGCACAAAATAAAATACAGACAATATATATTTAAAATACAAAATCAAAATGCAAATATATAAAAACATCACAGCAGCCTAAAATCTTGTGCTTGAGATAGGGAGCATTAAATCTCATGCTGGCAATAAAAAATAACATTGAGCAATAAAACTGATTTAAAATAAAACAAACCGGCCTTTGCTTGGCATAGAAAACACATTTTTAAAGGTACCATGAAAGCCTTCTGGAGTGAGTATTCCAAAGTCAAGGTGTCATCTTCAAAAGGCTCTCTGATTTGTAGCCATTTGCTGTGCCTCACTTGGCAGGGTCATGTGGAGAAGATCCTCTGCTAACAGGACCAACCCAGCTATTTAGGCTAGATGAGTTGGTTGCCTCAAGTGGCAGAGCGCTGGGGGCAGTGACTATGCCACTTTCCTCCCCCCATTGTCACCTCAAATTCAGAAGAGTCCAGGAAGATTTGGATGCAGCGTGAAGGGGCCAGAGCTGCTATTCTATCACCCCTTAAAAAGACACACACACACACAGAGAGAGAGAGAGAGAGAGAGAGAGGAGAAAAGGGAATAAGATGGCCCCTGCTTCTGAACTCAGCTTTAATTGAAAATAATCAATTTCCTCCTTTCCTCCAAACATTGCTGTGGGTGGTTATATAGCAGGGTTGCTCCCTTCTCATCATCTCCATGGAAATGGCTTTGAGCAGAAAGCACAGGGCCACCTAAGCCTCCTACTTCTCTGCTTGCAACCAGAAAGGGCAACATGCACAAGCAAACCTGGCCACTGCTGCTTGCCATCGCTCATCATTGCTGCCACTACTTGCATTTTCTCCAGAGTAAGGAACTCCTCTAGGTGTCCCTTTGCTATTTTTCTCCTATAGTGCAGTACGTACTACTTTCTCCTCTATATCCTACACTGGAGTTGTACCGTCTTTTTATTACTGCTACCACCACCACTTCTTTCAATGGTAGTGGGCAGAAAAATCCACTCATTTGCAGTTGCAGCTGATTGTGAGGATGGCTTATTGCTTTCTCCCTCAAGCAACAGGAGATCTTGGTCTGTCTCTGCCTGACAAAGATCTCAAAGTCCGGGCAGGTACGTGCAGAGCTAGCCAATCCATAAACAAATCTAGCCCAAGGAATGAAATGGCACAGATCCAATGCAATTGGTAAAATATGTGAAAAATTGACTGTGATTCCAAGTTTGAGTTAGCAGTCTTAGTGTTGCTCCTGTTTCCTAGCAACCATCAAGGATAGTCCCTCATATAACTTATTGCACTAGTCTAGTCTGGAGGTTAACTAGAACATGGAGTTTAACAACATCACGTGGCTCAAATACAGGTATTAACTCCAGTCCTTGGCCTACATTCAATGACTAGAAAAGGCAGACTGAATTGATAGAATCTATATAAATGTTGATTTACCAATTTCTCACTTGCCCTAATTGGGACTAACAATTAGTGTTGCCAGTTCAGGAGCATTTCAGTTCCAAACCCCAAGACCTAGCTAAATGGCCTTGCAATGTTGTAAGCAGTGTGCTCAGGCAATGTAACAAGGGGCAGGTATCTCAGCAACAATTACAAAATTGGGGTCGAGGGGGATGATGGACAACATAGCGGCTAAATGATGACCTTTCAGGTCAATGAAATAGTGATGTGCAGAATTTATTGGGAAAGATTTACAGGCTGAAAGCTACAAAACAAAGTGAGAAGCAGGGCAATACTAAAAGGAAAACACACCCTGTTTTCTAAGCCAAGAATGAGAGGAGTTAATTTAGATCTATAAATACATCTCTGGGCATTCTGCAGCCAGTGAGAATGAACCTTCCAAAGCAGCATCCGACTGTCTCAGATTTCAAGTCAAAGTATATAACAACGTCTGCGTTGGCTTGGGCACGTCGTGAGAATGGCTGATGGTCGGATTCCAAAGGATCTCCTGTATGGAGAATTAGTGCAGGGAAATTGCCCCAGAGGGAGACCACAGCTGCGATACAAGGATATCTGCAAGCAGGATCTGAAGGCCTTAGGAATAGACCTCAACAGATGGGAAACTCTGACATCTGAGCATTCAGCCTGGAGCCAAGCGTTACATCATGGCCTCTCCCAATTTGAAGAGACCCTTGTCCAGCAGGCCGAGGCAAAGAGGAAGTCACAAAAGCAGCAATACCAGGGAACTGGACAGGGGACAGATTGGATTTGTCTTCAGTGTGGAAGAGATTGTCACTCTCGAATTGGCCTCCTCAGCCACACTAGACGCTGTTCCAAGTCCTCCATACAGATAACATTACCATAGTCTTTCGAGACTGAAGGATGCCTAATACTACTACTATATAACCCAGAGAAGGAACTCCCAAACCTGAATCTCAGGGCCAAAGCCCGAGTCCTCACTATCACACCAATAGTTGGATTTAGTATGCAGCAATTTCTAATTTGCACTATTCTAATCCATGCCAGTCCTACTCATCCATGCAATTTGATGTCTTCCTCTGCTTCTTCCTCTGATCCAAGGTCACTATTGATATACTTCTTGATTCCATCACCCATCTACTTGTCTTCTGGTGTGGCCCATCCATCTCCATTTTAATGATGGTATTTTTCTTTTATATCTAACTTGGTTTTTCACTTTAGCTACCAGTTGGATATATGTCATTGTTATGTGCTGTCAAGTTGGAACCAATTTACAACAACCTTAATAGAACTCTTAAGGTAAGTGAGATGTTTAAGGAGCGGCTTTATCAGTTCCAGTCCCCCAGTAAGTTTCCATAGTTTAACAGAGATTAGAACCCAGGTCTCCTGAGTCCTGGTCCAACACTCTGTCAACTACACTGTACTGAGTATCCTAATTAGATATTTAGCATCTATCTTCCCATGGATCTTTGTGGTTTTGCAAGCATTGCCATTAGGGATTTTGTTACAGTCCAGTTCTGTGCAGTATCAGTCAGTACTGGCAACGCTGATTATAAATTGATCTTAATTGTAGAGGGTTTTTTTCCCTTGGATGTTTAATGGTTTTACTTTGCTTATCAAGAGATGGCTATTCAAGTCTTATTCATCTTTTCACTTTGCTTTCTGGTCTCATTTCCCACAATGTGTTACCTGTGCCAGAGAAATATATTCTTGTACATATCCAAGATGACAGCCGTCATATAAAAGCACTTCATCTTACATTAATTGTTAGTCTCAAGACAGATTTGCCTACCCCTCCCAAATTTTTTCAGAATCACACCAATAAGTACCACAAAGGTTTGGATTCAGTTCTACTAATGCAGATCTATTCATGGGTTGTACCTAGTTTCCCTGTACCTCACTGAAATGCTTTGAAGTGATTTTGATATGGCTATATTTTTTCATCTCATCAGCATCAGAAGGTGCCTCTAGGCAGGAAACTTGGATAAGTAGGACTATGAGATGCAGGCAAACCCTGTTTCAGCACACACACACCCTGGCTGGATTACAATAAGGGCTTTAAAGGGCGCTATTAACCCTAATCAACCAACATGCCTGGAGGAATATACTTGCAGTTGTTCAGGTCTGTTCAGAAACAAGAAAAGAAAAAAGAGTTTCTTTTGGTTTCCCCACTGCTGTTGTAACTTGTACACGGAGATTTCTACAGGAAGGTCTATTAGGGTGACTCACTCCATTCAGTGAGTTCAAAGCTACTTATGTCTGGTTCCTAGACAGTCTCCATCCAAGAAGATTACAAAGCCCAAAACTGCTTACCCTCAGCAGTTTGTTTATTACATTTTCATCCCACACGTTTTCCAGGCAGCTGAACAGGAACCTTGGCTCCATGATGTGCGGACTGCCCTTTGGATTCTAGCTCTAATCCTGCCTTGGCTATTTTCTAAGATCCACTGAGAGACTTTCCAGGTTCATCATGCCTATCTTGCATCCTTTTGTTTGCTTGTTTGTTTCTTGGTTATGAGAGTTCCCAAGATTTACCAGGCAACATATAATCATAACAGTCAACTATTTAGTACTGCAGAAATATACTTGCCAATGTCCAGCCGTCTCATTGGCAGCTTACTTGCCTTTCTATGTATTTCTGCCACTTTTGAATGACAGGTGAATGCTTCCATAGCCATTTAGCAATTGATTAGTATACAAAGGCATCCTTTTGGGTCAAGAGATGTAGCAGAATCCACAGAAATAGTCAGGAGCAGCTTGCAAAGACATTGTGTTCATGTAAGGGGGTTTAAAAATCTAGCAAGCAAAGGCAGCCCACGCAAGAACTGAAAGAGAGAGAGAGAGAGCAGCTCCAAAGGAAAGAGGAGGTCATTTGGACAGTGACTCCACAATCATTTGCATCTAAAATGTTCATAGAATCATAGAATAATGGAGTTGGAAGGGGCCTATAAGGCCATTGAATCCAACGCTCTGTTCAGTGCAGGAATGCTAGGAAAAGTTTAAGGCAGCAGAAAAATAGCATAGCCAAATATGTTATGAGATTAAATTGACTTCAAAAGAGATGCTACAGGCATGTATTCACAAGAGCTGGACAGGGCTATCAAAGACAGAACATTTTGGAGCTCACTTATTCATGAGCTCACTATAAGTTGGAGACGACTGGGTGGCATACAACAAAAACAAATCCAGATCATTTTCCTTCCTGTAACTAGGAAAATTCATAATAAAATAAATCTTCTTCAGATTGGGATATCTTTACAGAGATTTCCTATGCTTGTCAAGGAGTTGTTGCATTCTTTTCAAACCCTTCCAGCTGGCATTAGGACTTAGTTCTTGTGCAGTGCCATAGCGCTACATTCCTTCCCGATGGTACAAAGTGAGTAAAAACCCAAGTAATTCAGGGGGTGAGGGGAAGGTGCAGAACTCATTTTAAAAAGCCAACAAAAAAGGTAAAAGGAACATCAGCTAGGTGGTGGGGAAACCTCCAGTGACATCACTGCACAATTCCATCCTTACAGTGGAAAAATCTTCTTTCTAGAAGACGAAGGTGACATGAATTTATTCCCAAATTTTTCAAAATCACCAGTTTCCTCTACAGTGGGATATGGACTGATTAACGGTTTTTAAATTGTTCAACCATTTTTAAAATCTGTCTGGGTCTATTACTGAAATGTGGGAGGTATTTCTATTTAAATATTGTTTTGAGCAAAGTCCAAGCCAAGATCATACAGTAAAAACAATCAGATATCTGATCACACCAAAGAGCAATCCAAGTTAATTAGCTCTTCATCAACAGCAATTTGTAGCTGCTACAGAGGGGGGCAAATGCAATTGGTCTACTGCATGGATCTAAACATGGGTCCCTCAGATGGTTTATGGTTGTACATACCTTAGGTTTACAACACGTGATTTAACCAGTTTTTTCTTTAAAGTAGTAGCTTCAAATGCCTGAAAAATCTGTGAAAAGAAGAAAAAGTAGTAAATTAAATTTGTTAATTTTTCTTAAGTAGGACATGGATGGGAAATACTACATAATTACTGTACATTGAATTGTGATTACACTAAAAATGGAGTTCGCTATTCCTTTTTCTGGGGGTGATCTGGGACTGCACAGCTTGCCCAGGGCTACACAGACTGGCTTTACTCCTGGGAAAAATCTGTGAAAAGAAGAAAAAGTAGTAAATTAAATTTGTTAATTTTTCTTAAGTAGGACATGGATGGGAAATACTACATAATTACTGTACATTGAATTGTGATTACACTAAAAATGGAGTTCGCTATTCCTTTTTCTGGGGGTGATCTGGGACTGCACAGCTTGCCCAGGGCTACACAGGCTGGCTTTACTTCTGGAAAATCATAGAATCATAGAATAGTGAAGTTGGAAGAGGCCTACAAGGCCATCAAGTCCAGCCAACTGGTCAATGCAGGAATACAATCAAAGCGTATCTGCCAGCTGATTATCTAAGTTTTTCTTGAATGCCTCCAGTGTTGGAGCACTCACCAACTCCTGAGCTAACTGATTCTACTGTCGTACAGCTTGCACTCACCAACTCCTGAGGTAACTGATTCTACTGTCGTACAGCTTTATTCTAACAGTTAGGGAGTTTTTCCTGATATTCAACCTCTCAAACTCTGGCTCCTCCGACAGATGCCTAACATATCGAGCAGCAGTTAGGGAGTTTTTCCTGATATTCAACTCTGGCTCCTCAGACAGATGCCTAACATATTGAGCTATTCAGCCTGTACCATATTTGATGTAGCTACACAATTCCATCACACATATGACTTGATTTATTCTCAGCTGCTTGGAAATCTAGCTGATGGAGCTCATAGTCAATAAAACCTCATGCTAACAGAAGGGATGAGGGTAGTGTAAATCAAGTATAATGCATTAATAAATTAATCTTTTAGGTAAAAGCATAGAAAAGGGGTATTAATTTCAATGTGGGAAGAGAATATGTCTTACAGCCTGGCACAAACTTAAAATGAGAAAAAAAATGCAAGCAAGATTTAGGCAACGACAGCCTGGCACAAACTTAAAATGAGAAAACATGCAAGCACGATTTGGGCAACACAAGGAAACTGTATCTGTGAGAGAAAAGGCCTTCTCAATGTCTGCACTCTGACTTCAGAAGGCCCTGATCCATGAAGCTAGGTTGGCCTCCTCTCTCTTGTCCTTCTGTTGTCTGACAAAAACCTTCCTTTTCAGACAGCCTTTTAAAAGTAATAAGTGGGGATCTCAGGAATGCTATTTCTATTGGTTTTAGAGATGTAAAATGTTTTTTAAAATGTTTTTAAAATAGTTTAAATTGTGGTTTTAATATTGATAAGCGCTAGCTTTAGTACAGCTTTTAAAATGTCATTTTAAAGTCTGTGGTTGTTGTAATGGAGAGCACAGCCATCTTTCTATGTGAGCATTGCCCTTTCCTTGAACTATTTCTCTAGTTGGCTAAACCCTCATGACTTCTTTCCATCTGTACAATGGCAACCAGGGCACGTCCAGAGAAGCAATATACTAAAGTAGCAAGAATAAACATGGAAAGGCTGCGGTAGTGCCATAGCTCTGCCTCCTTCATCACTGCTCTTCTCATGTGAAGAGTGACAGTCTAAAACTGAGGGCCTCTTCGATGCATGGAGACTCTTCCTGTGATTCTGAATGGCTAATTTCCCACTATTCAAAATCCACACACACAGGCGGCACTCTGTTTCAAACTATACAACATGTTTATTTCTTCTAGTGTAGATTACTTGAATAGGGCTAAATTGTAATAATGGATTTATTTATTTATTTATTTATTTATTAATCTAGTCATTGCAACCACTCTAGGCAGCTTATAACACAAATACAAACACAAATATGTGTGTGTGTATATATATAGGCCTGCCGAAACATCCATGTTTTCAGTTGGTTTTTAAAGGTGCCCAGCAAGGGTGCCGCGCGAATCTCTGGAGGCAGATTATTCCAGAGGCGAGGAGCCACCACAGAGAAGGCCTGGTTTCTTGTTTTTTCCTTCCAGGCCTCCCTCGGCATCAGGCTCCTCAGCCTCACCTCCTGACTCACATGAGTGACACGGGTAGAGCTAGGTGGGAGTAGGCGTTCCGCCAAGTATCGAGGCCCTAAACCGTTTAGGGCTTTATACGTAAGCATCAAAACTTTGAAGTCAACGCAAAATCGGATGGGCAGCCAATGCAGCGTGGCCAAAATAGGAGAAATGTGGTGGTATTTTCTCGCTCCACTAAAGTGCCTGGCCGCCACATTCTGCACCACCTGGAGTTTCCGCGTCAGCCTCAAAGATAGCCCCACGTAGAGCGTATTACAGTGGTCTAATCTCGAGATTACGAGCGCATGAACCAAGGTAGTGAGCGCCCCCACATCGAGATAAGTCCGCAGCCGGGCTATCCACCACAGATGGATTAGCTACAGCTCCCCTGGGGAATTAATTAATGTTGGCTCAGTCCCTCTTCATGGATTCATACACATTCTCCATTACATGTGTGTAGTGGGACAGTGTGGCGGCTGACTATAATAGTTGTTTAGCTTACTGTTTGGAATACTGTAGGGATGGGCTGGTGCATTCTTAAGGATAGTGATCAGATGACTACAAATGCCTGAACAGGGATTAAGCCAACATTCACTCAAGACAGTATCTCCTTTGTGAACCCACCTGGGTGTTAAGATCATCAGGGGAAGCCTTTCTCTCAATCCCTCACAAATCCTTTTTTTTTCCCCACACAGCAAAGTCACCACCTACCTGGCCCTTCTCTGAGCACCCAGCATCATCATTGCCCATGACTGGAAGATAGCTGATGGCCTTAGAACAGCCATTCTCAACTTTTTTTTCTTAGACTTCAGGGCCCCCTTTCAGAGAAGGATACTGTACTAACAGATATCTTTTAGAAACTTCTCCTGTTTTTCAATCTGTGCCCCCCCCCTTCAAATGTGCCAGAGAATGGCTGCCTTAAAGGACCTTTGTGCTTTGGATTAGGATTTGGCCAGAGAATGTTTTGTATTTTAAGTTTGACACAAAACAATACTCTACCCAAAAAATCACTTACTTGAAACATATGTCTGGACCTCAAAGGAACATAAAAATATAAAATGTAATTTATATAAAATATAATTTATATGGAAGAGCTCATTGAAACTCCGTAACTAGAAAGCCAAAGGGGCTGGCGTATCTCATGCATCTTCTGAAATTCTGTATGCAGAAAGACTTGTCAAATGCACCATGTTTTGAACATGTGACCTTGATTTATAATCTAAATGGAAAATATCAGAAATGCCTTTCCTCGTGATTCTGAACACCCAATTATGATTCAGTACTGGATTCTAGGTTCTTGACTTCAAAATCAAGTTCTTCAATCATTGCATGTCTTCCTTTTTCCTTGTTTCTATCAAGCAAGATGCTCTCATAGTAGGTTGTGGCAACACTTCTTTGTGATCTACTGGTGTGTCTCCAGGACATTCCAAACAACTTGCCATAAATTATCCAAGAGTTCTCCAATTAATTTTCTGGAGCAGATTGTGTAAGATCTTCTAAATTAATTTTCATGTAAAGTCAGCCTGGTTCTCAGCTCAAGGACATACTTGTGTGAATCAGCCCGAATTTCAGGTGCACTTTCTTTACCACCAGTTCCCTCTGTTGCCATGGTGAATCTTAGTGTTTTGTAAACAAAAACAAAAACAAAGAAAATCCCACGAGCCTAAAGTTCATTTGGCTCTGCCTTAGAGCATCATGTCATGACTGTTAAGATTCCAGTTTTAAGATTTTGGAATATGTTTATGTATCCAAGAGTGGCCATTTCTCCATTTTGAATGAGATAGTACAAGAAAAAGAAACTATTTCTCACTTACCAAAGTCTCAATGTTTGTGCTGAGATCTCTAAATTCTCTTGAGGCATGTTTTGTCAAACCAGGACTGAATTCTACATTATTGACTTTGAAGGAAGCACGATAAAAGAATAGTTTTTGATCTGCACAAACAAGAGAGAGAGAGAGAAGAAAGGGAGCAGGGGAGATTAAAATGAAGCAATTAACAACATATTGGGTGTGATAAGATGGTTTTGATCTTGCATCTTGGCCCACTTTTGTCATGGTTGGGTTTAGACTATTTCCCAGCAACTGCAGTGTGGTTTTCTGTCCTAAAACCATCTAATCTAATTCTAAATATCAAACCACAATTTCAAGTCATCTTGTGTAGCCCGGGATAAACTTTACTGTCTATTTGCACTCTTATTTCTACCCTGGAATATCAGCAATTGTATCCTTTTGGAAGAATATGAACAGTTGACATACCTTTGACAGAAGTAGCTGGTGAAGACCTTATGTTCTGGAGGATCAAATGTCAGGAAAAAGACATATTATAAGTCTGCAGCAGAGAGCTTACACATCTGTCTGGTGATGGAAAAGATTCCACAGCAACATTCTCCCTAACTGCCCGGCTGTGCAGTGCTGCATCAGTCCTGCACAGCCAAGCCAGTGTTGCCACCCATTTGCTTCTCGTTGTGGCTGGAACTCCCCATCTATGGGGTGGGGCCCCTGCCCAGCACTAGCGGAAAATTAGAGGGAATGTTGTTGCACAGTAATAAGAAATCTGGCTGCCAACCTAGCTGAGAATATACATATCAACAAAAGCTGATGCCTAGTTCCCAGTCTCTTTACCCACCTGTTGTTGAAGTAGGGGTTGTAGCACACTGTAGCAGTACTACTGTTTAGAACAACAGCTCCTAGAATCTCCCAGTGAGGATGTCCGCTGGGAGAATCTGAGACAGTCTTGGAAAAACAAGTAACTGACTAGTTCAACTTCAGGCATTTAGCTTGCCCCCTGGGAAATGTCAAAAAGGTTTCCTCCTATCATGCTTCGGGGTCTCAGATCTAAAGTCTAATGTTGTTCCAGGGCTTTCACCTCCTTCTTAGGGGTAGAGGGGCCTCCGAAGAAAGGACTAAAGTTCCAGGGTATAAACACAATATTAGGTGCCCTTTTACATCTTAGGACAGTGTATGCCCTTGCATAAAATTGGGGTGGGGCAAAGTGCAGCCGTACAAATATTACCAGACTCCAAGTCTCATCAGTCCTACTGAGCAACATAGCCCATCCTGGCAATGCCCAGGAATGCTGGGTTATGTAGTTCAACAATATACACTCTGCTCCTTCCTGGGATAAAAACTATGCTTAGCACCAACTTGAATAACACCACTGCTGAAATATTGGGAAAGGGAGAGCAGTTCAGGTCAAAGAGACTGACAAGAAACACACTCACCATAGACCAAAAAATATACAAGCAACCCGATGACAATGGCTAGGACCACTACTACTGCTAGGACAATCAAAGCAATCATCCATGGCTCCAGGGAGTTCGTTCTTGTTGCTCGCCTAGCCATTCTGGGGAGAGTGGACAAGATTAAGATTTTGTAAGAGATACAACAGTAGTAAACTGTTAAATGGCATCATTTAACCCTCTTTTGGTGAAACAATTTGAAATGAATAGTAACTGTCCTCTGTGAAAGCATACTCCCTCTGTAAATAGTCCTCTCTGGAAACTGCACAGATACATTTCATAAACCCAATAATGCTCTTAAAGTGGTACTCTGGTCACTGAATCATTTGCCAATGATACTTCATACTAAAGTATGAACACTTTTACTTACTGTAGCTTCTATGCACATCCAAGCTCTATTCATTCCCCCCTCAAGATTTAACAATCACATGACAAGGGGTTCCTGCTGGTTCTAAACATCCATCATCTGCACATTGGTAGGCACTTCTCTAGAGGGGTTAGTATTTTTCACAGACAAACTCCCCCCCCCCGGATATTTAAAGAAGGCCTGCATTACACAGTTGTACCAGCTTGGTAACACTTCAATTGTCATGGATCCCTTCTGCAGAATTTCAACATCTGTACTTTGATGGTTCTAAACATCCATCATCTGCACATTGGTAGGCACTTCTATAGAGGGGGTAGTATTTTTCACAAACAGACTCCTCCCAATATTTAAAGCAGGCCTGCATTACACAGTTGTACCAGCTTGGTAACACTTCAATTGTCATGGATCCCTTCTGCAGAATTTCAACATCTGTACTTTGATGAAAGAAGGCTGACCGCTGAAGAATTGATGCTTTTAAATTGTGGTGTTGGAGGAGACTCTTGAGAGCCCCCTGGACTGCAAGGAAAACAAACCTATCCATTTTGCAGGAAATCTACCCTGAGTGCTCATTGGAAGGACAGATCCTGAAGGTGACTCTCCAATGCTTTGGCCATCTCGTGAGAAGAGAAGACTCCCTGGAAAAGACTCTGATGTTGGGAAAATGTGAATGCAAGAGGAGAAGGGGATGACAGAGGATGAGATGGTTGGACAGTGTCATCGAAGCTACCAACATGAATTTGATCAAACTCCGGGAGGCAGTGGAGCACAGGAGGGCCTGGAGTGCTCTGTTCCATGGGGTCATGAAGAGTTGGACACAACTTAACTAAACAAGAACACTCTGATGAAACACTCAGAAGTGCCATGTTCCTCACCACACTTAATGTGCCAAAATGCTTTAGAACTCACAACAGTTAAAGTAGTATCAAAATGATGTAATTTTCGAATCTGTTTTCCAGATAATCAAGGTTCTTAATCAGAAAAAAGGTTTCAGACTTAGAGGAGGCTGCGTCACCTCCTCAAGCTACAAATGAAAGAGGTAGG